TGGAACAGGTTTAAGGAAATACTGCGTGAAAAGTATTATCCAGCTTATTATTGCACAAAGCTCGAGCGTCAGTTCTTGGCGCTTAAACAGGGTACCCGTTATGTATACGAGTACGAGCGTGAGTTCACTCGACTTGGCTTCTTCATTCCCGAGTTATTGGGTTTGGAGGAGAAGAGATCGAGACGTTTCATCGACGGACTTCTACCAGCAGTTCGTCACAACATCGTTGGACATGGTGTCCAAACCTACACCGATACCATTTCCATAGCCCAGGAGATTGGTACCAGTATACGGAGGGAAGCCATACCGATTCCAGCGCAACCAGTTGCTCAACCACCTTGTAACGCCCCATTTTTATTGCCAAATTTAAAGATAAATTTTTCGAAGTTTATTTTCAAAACACTTGAGGCGCTACTCATTATCAAAACAATATCAGATTCAACCAATCATCAATACTCAATTATCTTTATTCATTTATCAATAATCAATAATCCAAAACTTAGTTCAATAATCAATACTCATAAAATCTCAGGGAAAACATTCTCTAACAATAATCCTGAAATCGATCAAACAATAATAGCAATATTTCAGTTTCAAGCGGAAGCAGTAACAATTTATTATGACCACACTCGCATCCCTCGGCCATGCCCGCAACACTAACCTGCATCAATGAAGAGCAAGTGGGGATGAGCACAAGAGGAAACAGTAGTGCTCACCACTATGCCGTAAATGTTAATCTCAATAGTAAACAGTAATCCATAATCAAAAGGTATGGTCTCAGCATGTATACGAAACAATTATTTATCCCAATCCCCATCAATAATATCAATAATCAATACTCATGTGTACAAACCTATCATTAGCTACAACTAGTATCTTCGAAGGCATCGCCGTGTGTCTTACATCGTCAACTAGCTCGTAGGAGTTTATGTCGAAGGCACCGCCATGTGTCTTACATCGACATTCATTTCGAAAGCATCGTCATGTGACTTACATCGAACAAACATATCGAAGGCATCGCCATGTGACTAATATCGATATGGCCCACCGTGGGTCTTAGGGGGAAATCTTAACAAGGGGATAACCGTTCGGTACTGGTACAGCTCACACCGAGCGCTACATGATTCACATGCATACCTTGATCATACCACAATTTAAACAATAATAACATTTAAGGCATAGCAAATTTTTCAAATAAAACCCACCTGGTAAATTGGTAGAAAGGCACACAAAATCAAGTACGTAGGATGAGGCTCGACTCCTCAAACACCTACATTTAAGTGAGATCATTTATCAATGATCAATCTCACTATTCGAATTTATCATAAAACCCATACTTAATAAAAATTAAGACTTAAGGGTTTTAATAAGATTTTTCGTGGACTTGAAACTCTCTCATCTTAGAGAAATAGGACTCAGAGAACTTAATTGGAGTCTCGGGACTTACAATTTTTTTTTCCAAATTTTTCTCATTTGAAAATATTTCTAAAATTGAAATCGGTATTAAAAAGGGTCTCCGGAACACAAAAGTTGGGCTAAAAAGCTAATTGGGCCGCGCTGGCCATTTTCTCGAACTCTGGGCCGCGCGTACGAGCAAAATGGGCTGCTGGTGTGTTGGTTTGGCCCAAGAAAACGGCCTGTTAAGAGGAAAGAGGGGGGCTGGAGCAGGCCATAACTGGGCTCGCAGGCCTTGACTGCTGCGGGCGATATCCAGCCGCGCGCGGGCTGAAAGCGGGCTGGACAGCCCTCGCACCAGGTAGGGAAATTAAAAATGAAATGCGGGTACCAAGAGTCAAACACGGGACCTCTTGCAAGGAAATGGGAACGGAACCCGCTGGACTACACAGCTATTTGAGACTTAAATTGCAAACTTTAACAAATGAATTTACAATAAAACCTGCGACTGAAATTTGAGAAACAGAGCTCGGGAAATTTGCAGAACTTGTGAAATCACAGCAAATTGAATTCGAACTCGACAATGCTATTACCAAAGGCAATCGGGACCAGAATATATAAAACGTTTACGAAAATAACACATTTACAAATTTCCGAATAACATTAAAAGCTGGGTCTAAAGGGTCGAAAGTCGAAACGACAATACGTGGTTTTAAAAACAAACGAATGACATATCAACGATGGCAAGGCTCGGAAGAGTAAAACGAGACTCCGAAGTACAACATAACCACAGCAACAAGCAAAGATACTCGATTCCAGATTATACGCAACAATAAGGCTTGAACGGAATATATATGTATGAACAATAATATGACAACCCGGAAGCATAAAACGAGACTCTGAACTCAAACGAATCAATTACAGCAGCAAAAACACTCGATATTTTCGAAATCTAGAGTTCCACCATGTCCATGTAAATTCACGATTTCACACGAACAAATATTCGAAACTCAACGAACATACAAACCGATCAATCATACAAGAATCCATGGAACGAGCATGATGTATATATAACATGATATACGAGTACGAACAAAATAACAAGAGGGTACACTGTTTACCTTCCTTTGGGGAGCTCGATTGGAAAAATGAACGGACAAATGGGACGGGACTCGGGACTCGACGGCTACGTTTAGCACTCCGACGGAACTCGACGGGACTCGACGGCTATGTTTAGTACTCCGACAGGACTCGACAGGACCTGACGGCTGGAAACTCACGACCAAAGGTTGGAGGTCTCGCCGGAAAGCGCCGGTTCGCGGTGACGGAATAGAAGCAGTGATGGAGGCGTCGTTGTGGAGGAGCACGGCTGTGATGGAGAACTCACCGGGAATGACATCCCGATGGTGGCGCGCGATGACGGATTGGAACTTGGAGAGAGCAGGTTCGATGACGGCGATGGTGCATGCCGGTGAGGATGAAATCGCCGGGAGTTGCGGGCTTGCGGTTTTATGAAGATGATCGGAGGTGAAGAGGAACAATAATGGTCAGGCGGGAAAATTGCAGATGGTGATCGATGATGATAGCGCGGAGAGAGAGGGAGAAGGGAGAAGCTGCGCAACAATTTTGGTCTTCTCCTCAAGAATTGTGAAAAATCTGATAAATATAACGAGGAGAGAGAGTGGAGAGATTGATAGGAATACACGTTTAAAAATTTTTAACGGTTGAGGATTAAAGGCCCTAATATTGCCACTAATAAGGAAAATAATATTGGTTTGATTTCCTTAATAAAAGAATTATTATTGCAAATAATTGGCCATCAAGGCAAATGATCAAAAAGAAAGAGCAATC